AGCATATCTGGCAAGAGCAGTGGAACTCACAGTTAAGTTTTTGGGGCCCAGTGGGGCTCAAAGATGTCAAGGCAGTACATGAAATGTCAGGCCTTCCAATACAGTGGTACCCTGAAGGTAAATAGAACAACAACCAAATCCAAACCTGGCCCACCTACAGATTAGATTAAATTAAAGGATCTTAAAAGGTAAGACAGCACACGTGAATAGATGGGGAATTTAAACAGATTAAAAGTATAAAAAATAAAATATAAATGTTAGCAAAATATGCTGTCATATTTGAAGAATTCCTTTAACAAGTTTATTGGTATACTGGACATGGCAAAGAAAAGAATTAGTGTACTGGAAGACAGATCAATATATAAATCATACAAACTAACACACAAACAGCAGATCCTGGCTCTTGGAAACTAAGTAGAATAATTACAAAGAAAAACATACCCAGGAGCACTGTAGTAGTAAAACTGCCAAAAAACAAAAAAATAAAAAAAATAATAATAAAGAGAAAATCTTGAGCACAAAGAAACATTTACATACACAGGAACTTCTCGTCAGAAACTATGTAAGCCAGGGAGACATCTTTAGAGTACTGAAAAATAAAAAAATGAGTTCCATAAAGAATAACATTTTTGTTAAAGAGCACAGTAAGATGATTTTAGGAAAAAGCTAAAATCACTGTCAGCCAAACATATACTACCCAACAAATGACTACATTACAAGGAAGTTTCAACCTTAAGCTTCAACCTTAAAAAGATACTAGGGAAAGACAAAGCACTTAAGCCTAAAGCAAGCTGAAGAAAGGAAATGACACAATAAAAGCAGAAATTGATGAAACAACAACAAAAGATCAATCGAACAAAAAAACTGGTTCTTTGCAAAGATCAATACAACTGACAAACTCCTAGCTGGACTGATGAGGAAAAGAGAAAGAAGAGCTAAATTACCAGTATCAGGAATGTGAGAGGGGGCATCACTACAGCTCCATCCCAAAGACCTTCAAAGGGTAATAGGAGATTATGATCCACTTTATGACAATAAACTAGACAACTCAAGATAAAATGAACAAGGAGAAAGTAGTAAGCAAGACACAGGAGTAGGAGATACCTGTCTTTGTATCTGACAGCTATGGACAATTGAAAATAGCTCTGGGAGGATGGATGTAATAAGAGTCAAGTAAGAAGCTATGGCAACACGGTGGAGCAAAAAACGAAGAATAACCACATAGAAAGGACCACTGCAGAGGTAGGCTTAGCTGAGACATCTGGAAATGGCTAAGCACAAAAAAAGAAGGGTAAAGGCTATCAGTATAAGCCATGTAGTGGGTGCCACTGTGGTCCCCAGTAGCCTGCTGTGCAGAGGAACCCAACAGCCCTCAGGACAGCTGCAGCGTCCCTGCCATGTTCACAGCAGAGGACTCTGCAGTGTTTGTTGGCGTGGACTCCAACCGTCTGCTCTGCAGAGGAAACGGACAGCTTCTGCCACTGAGGTAACCAACGGCCATTGCTGATACTGACCTCCTAGAGAGGGGCACGCTCCTGCACCCCTCCCAGAAGACACTGCTGCGTCCCCACCCCAGGAACAGGGCTGCCAGCCCCAACTTCCAACCCTGTGCACACCCAGGACCCCAGAACCCTGGCTGCTCCACACGCACCCACACTTCAGACTTTGATTCCATGACCGCTCCACATGTGCTCACATCTCTGGCACTGACACTGCAGGCTAGCCAGCACACCAGACCCCAGACTGCTGTCATTCTACAAGCCTCCATGCTCCACACCTGGCTCTGTAGCTGGTCCAAGCATGCTCACACCTCATGCTCACTGCCATGGCAAGGGTACTCCAAAGCCAGGTCCAATGCCAACAGGGATCCCTCTGGCAATGATATATCCCATGGGAGAGAAAGAGATCAGGAGGTCCCCAGCAGCCTTTGCCACCAGAGACCCCAACAGCCTTCACTGCCACTGCAGATACCCGGAGCACTGGCTGTTGAAGACCCCTGCAATTTAACTGACACTGACCTCAGCTGATGAAGCTGATGGGCCTTCCCAAGAGCTGGAACCATCATACCCACCCTTCCAACACCCTTGTACCCACTGCAGGTGACGGGTCTCTCCCCACTAAAACCAGTCAGTAGAGTCTGGTAGAGGTGCCTAATCAATCAAATGCACAAACATCAACACAAGGCTACAAGAAATACGAAAAATTAAGGAAACATGACATCACCAAAGAAACAGTGATTTTCCAGTAACTGACCCCAAAGAAATAGAAATCTATGATTTCAAAATAAGGGTTTTAAGGAAGCTCAGTGAGGTACAAGAAAATACAGATAGAGGGGCGCCTGGATGGCTCAGTCAGTTAAGCATCTGCCTCCAGCTCAGGTCATGGTCCCGGGGTTCTGGGACTGAGACCCGCATTGGGCTCCTTGCTCAGTGGGGAGCCTGCTTCTCCCTCTCCCTCTGCCTGCCGCTCCGCCTACTTGTGCTCTCTTTCTCTGTCAAATAAATAAATAAAATATTTAAAAAAAAAAAGAAAATACAGATAGAACTGAAATCAGGAGACAGACTCCAAAATCAGGAAAACAATAAACAAAATAAGCTCAATAGAGAAAGACATCATAAAAACAAAAATTCTAAAGCTAAAGAATACAATGAATTAAATGAAAAATGCAATACAGAACATCAATAACAGACATGATGACCAAGCAGAGAAAAGAATCTGTGAACTCAAAGACAGGTCATTAGAAATTATCTGGTTAGAGTGAAAAAAAGGAAAAATCAATGAAAGAGAGTGTATCCAGTTAGCAGAAGGAAGGAAGCAACAAAGGTCAGAGGAGAAATAAATGAAGTATGAACTAGAAAAACAATAGAAAAGATCAACGAAACTAAGAGTTGCTTTTCTGGAAAGATAAACAAAATTGACAAACTTTAACTAGACTAAGAAAAAAAGTGAGAAGACTGAAATAAATAAAGTCAGAAATGAAAACTAGAGTAGACATTACAACTCATACTGCAAGAATACAAAGATCACAAGAGACTACTATGAACAATTATATACCAACAAATTGGATAATCTAGAAAGGATGACTGCCATAGAAAGCTATCTATGGACTTCTCAAATAGAAATTTCCCCATTTCAAAGAGATTATAAGCTTCATTAAAGAGCGATTCCATAAATACAAAGACAAGTACATAATAGTAGATAAGATTATCTAGTATTCAAAATCCAAGTAAGATACCACATATCATTAAGAGGAATCAAGGATTGAAAATCTATAAAGCGTACTTTCCTACTCTGCGTGGGTACAGGTTGTTTCCAAATTAAAGGTCCACATCAAATTCAGGCTCAACAATGAATAAAATAACTAGAAAAATGTAAAAGGTCTAAGGGAGAGCAACAAACTTAAAAAGCAGAGCTCAAAAATATTTAGTGCATAAGGTCAGAAAAGCTATCCATATTTTAACCTTGGAATTTAGAGCTTCCTGACCCTGGGTCTTATAATTACTTCCCAAAACAAATGTCAATTTCTCCCTCCAGGCTGTAAGACTAGCCTTCATTCTATGTGGAGCAGATAAAAATTACTAAGTCATGAGCTTGCTAAACGGTTTATCAGATACCTCATAAAGACAAAAATATTCCCACCCCATTTTATTTGCAATTTTCTACTTACGAAGTCTTGACGTATGTCATTGAAGTCTTTGCCGTATTTTTCCAGTGCCTCTTCAAATAAACTAGCTTCAGAGGCTGACCACTCTTCCATTTCATCTCTGCATAAAACAGGTCCTCCCAGTGGTACTAAGACACTAATCGCACTGCTCAAATCATAGCTGTGCCGATACAACGTATCCATAGCATGAAACTAAAGAAAACAAAATGGAGAAAAAAGATCAGCTAGAAACTCAAACTTACTAGGTTAGTTAAGAACAGAAATAACTAAAATGAATGATGCGGGACACCTGGGTGGCTCAGTCGGTTAAGTGTCTGCCTTCGGCCCAGGTCATGATCCCAGGGTCCTGGGATTGAGTCCCTTATCGGGCTCCTTGCTCAGCAGGGAGCCTGCTTCTCCCTCTGCCTGCCACTCTCCCTGACTGTGTTCTCTCTCTCACAAATAAAATCTTTAAAAAAAATAAATAAATAAAATGCATGATGCACTTAAAATTAACACTAATATACTTAGGTGTTTATTTTTTATTAAAGATTTTATTTATTTATTTGACAGAGAGACAGCGAGAGAGGGAACACAAACAGGAGGAGTGGGGAAGACTCCCTGCTGGGCAGGGAGCTCGATCCCAGGACCCTGGGATCATGACCTGAGCCCAAGGCAGCCGCTTAAACGACTGAGCCACCCAGGCACCCCCTAGGTGTTTATTTTTTAAGTAACAAAATTAAGAAAAATTTAAACATCAGATTACTTATTTAAAATATCATTTATTGCTTTGGGGCGCCTGGGTGGCTCAGCTGGTTCTGCCTTCGGTTCAGGTAATGATCCCAGGGTCTTGGGATCGAGCCCCGCATCGGGCTCCCTGCTCAGCGGGGAGTCTGCTTCTCCCTCTGCTGCTCCCCCTGCTTGTGCTCTCTCCCTCTCTGTCAAATAAATGAATAAAATCTTTTAAAAAAATAAAATAAAAATAAAGTATCATTTATTGCTTTAAGAAAATGCTGATTCGTACCTTATAAGATGTGTATTTTTTAAAACGCATTCATTTGTTATAGTAACCTAACTATGAAGAGCCAGGGCCTCTTGGTGTTACACTGGGAAGCCAGTAAGTTTCACCATCCTCTTGGTTAAAAGTGCCAAAATCACTTCAGCTATTGTACAGGGTTGGCACAGCCTTCTTTGACAAAGGAAAAACAGATTATGTACCAGACAGAGAAAAAATATTCTCAGGTTGGATTAAGAGAATGATGTCCTAAGAATGAGAGATACAGAAAACAGAATTGAGAATGAAGGTGACACAAAACAAAACTACACATCCATGTTAAGCAAAACAAAAGTACATATCCATGTAAAAACAGTAACTTGGTTAGGATTTTGTAAGACCAAGAAGAGATGACCGACCAGCCTTGCCTGAATCAATTAGGCTGGCATGGGTTTCCTATATATTTCAAGAGACAGTGATAGGAAGAGTAATTTGAAAGGAAGAAAGGGAGATTAGGATAATATACCTGGCTTTCTGCAAAAGTACCTTGGGTCTAGCTTACTTAAAAAACATTCTTCTTCCCACTGCTTCCCAGAAGCAGTGAATAAACTTCGGTTCCAAAACTTTAAGCTTGGAAAAACTTCAGATGGTTTTTCTACCAAAGAGAAAGAGATTCATTCATAACATGTATGCACATTTGTATGCACAGCAGGAAAACTGCAAAACGGGATGATTGGCTCTGCTGTATCTGGATAAGCATATAGGTGTGGCCCAGATTTGGTTGGCAAGGTGACCAAATTCTTCCCAAGTGAGAACTAGTTCTATTTAAACTAACACATGAAAGCCAAGACTGCACCTTGTTCGCAAACTATCTTATGAAATTTTCACAAAATGGGGATAGCTTCACATCTATGCTACAACATAGCTCTTAAAATTTAGCTTGTGAGTTCCCTATTCATACAAGAATATAAAAATAGCTCAAATATCAACTAACATCTACTAAGAAGAAAGAATTATTGGCTACAGTATGCATTAAAAAGACATATTTAGGGCTCCTGGGTGGCTCAGTCGGTTAGAGGTCTGCCTTCCGCTCAGGTGATGATCCCAGGGTCCTGGGATAGAGCCGTGCGTCAGGTTCCCTGCTCAGTGGGGAGTCCTCTTCTCCCTCTGCATCTCCCTCTGTCCTTCCCCCAGACTCATGCTGGCTCTCTCTCTCAAATAAATAAAACCTTTTTTTAAAAAAGACATATTTACACTGTGATACATTAAGACATTGAAAAGGGTCTAGAATAGGAATTTGTTGACAGAGCTAAAGATGGGATTTTAGGACATACAGACATGTTTAAGGTATAGTAACTAACTGCTTTAACAAGGATTAACATCTCTCTTAAATAAATCACTGGATTCCACAAAACAAAAGCAAGTAGGAATTTCATTATCTATTCCCTAGTTACAATCACAGCTAAGACCACTGACCATGTATAGTCTTTTGCTGTATGTGTCACAATCATGGAATAATAACTTCAATTTTCAAGAGAATTTCTTCCCACCCTTCTGCAGCAAGGGTTACAAAAATGTTAGAATTGACCTTTATTCTTTGCCTGTGCTCTGCAAACTTCAGAATCAACTGAACTCCACTTTTCTAGCTAACATTCTCACTTGACAGATTCAAGTTTAACTGTACTTACTATACAATGCTAAATAAGTTTACATCGTCCCTGAAACTACTGTTTCTAGATAACTGATCTATAAAAGTGAAAACAAAGCCCAATAGCATTTAGGGATCCCTTCAATTAATAATATATTACTATAAACAATTATTTTTGAAACTACATTTACGATGGGTAATAAAACTGAAAAAGATTCAATGGTATTCCAAATCAATAATTACACAAATTAACTGTGCTGCTGAGATTCCTCAGGAGGGAGAAGTAATTTTTATAATTAACAGGTGCTCTGAAACCAAGTCACAAAATTAAATGAGTTTTTCTCAGCTGATATTATTCCAGCCACTCAAAGCATGAAAGGATTTTCAGTCTTTTGTTCATGTGAGATGTATGAAAAGGCTTTACTTACAGGCCCTTTTAAAAACGACAGGCTATTATCTAATAAGGTTTCAAAGAACCAAAGTAATATCATAGCCTTTATAAGTGATTATGACCAAAATGTGAAGTGATAAGATTGTTGATTCGATTGTTTTAAAGGTTTTTTTCTTTACAGACTGTTACTGAACACTGAAGTAATAAGCATTTGCATTCAGAAGACTAACTCCTGCTCTGTCACAAATCAAATGGAAAGAATGGGTCCAACTTACAGCTGACTGGAGGCTATGAAACCCCCAAAGCCCACTTTTGAAACACAGCTCAGAGGAGAGAGTCGTCGTGATCAGTATATGTAGAAAATAAACATCCCATCAGACGTATGCACTGTGGAATTCCTAGGGAATAATTTTATTGACAGTGATGACCAACTTCACAAAGGAATTCAGAGGATCACATTATGTGCTAGGAGTCCATATTAATTCCATCTTTCTGACACACATAGGTGACTCCTTCTGAATGGACTTTTATACAGTTTGATCTTACCCTAAAGAGCTGTAAGTAAAACACAGACTGAGACATCAAGTGAAGACTCTCAAAATTAGGCTAAGACATGGGAGTTTTACATATGACATATGGTTTATCAGTAAAGATAATAAAACTCCCAAGAGCTACACATGTAAAAGACACACTGGCTGATTCCTTTTATTTTTTTAAGATTTATTTATTTATTTTAGAGAGAGAGTGAATACATGCGTGTGAGCAGGAGGAGGGGCAGAGGCAGAGGGAGAGAATCTCATGTTGACTCCTCACTGAACATGGAGCCCTACGCGGGACTTGATTCCCGGACCCTGAGATCACGGCCTGAGCAGAAATCAAGAGTCGGGTCGTTTAACTGAATGAGCCACCCAGGGGCCCCTGGCTGATTCCATTTAGATGAATTTTGAGAAAAGTAACACTCATTGGTAAGAGAAGTCAAAATAATGATTACTTCAGAAGCAGGGGGTAAGGGGGTGATCACTGACTGAAGAGAGGCATGAGGGAACCTTTTGGGATTCTGGTAGTGTTCTTTATCTAGATCTGGGTGGTGATTACGTGAATGTATACGTATATAAAAGTTTATAAGCTATGCACCTAAGTGTACTTAATACACTTTATGTATACCTCAATTTAAAGACAAAGAATTTAAAGACTAAATGTAAAAAAACTGGCAGTCTTCCCTCTTAGATAAATACTTTGCAAAGATACCATGTTTTCAATAAAGATACAAATACACACGACAAGATCCATTCAAATCTAAATTTAACAAGTCCTAAGAACTCAGCACAAGCTGTTCCCTCTGCCAAATAGTGGTGAAGGTGTTGTCACATTTCATCTCATTCATAACAGATGGAAATGACAAACAGAAGTATTTTAGGAGAAAGACTGACAATGAAATCTTGGCAGTGAAATTCTCATCTTTTGTTCATTAAGTAGACTCACACTATGGTAGACTAGATTATTATTCAGCAAATATTCACTCCCTCCCCTGGACCTCCATAGGAGAGTATTCTACTACTCCACGGATACTGCGTCTGGCCATGTGACTTGACTGGCAAGTAAGATGCTCAGGATATGTGACATAACAGAGCCTTGACATGTGTTTCCATGTCTGGACTTGCCCTCTTGAGCTACTGGCTTTTTTCACCAGAGGATGAGATCTACATGGAGCAGATCTGGACTTATCCTGCAGCTGGGCACCTAAAGTGGCCCAGTCTAGTTCAGCAGAATCCTAGACAACCCGCACAGGAGTATATAAGAATTAATGCTTGTTTTTATAAGCCACTGAAATACTGGGCAGTGTAATAAATACTGTGTTTTCCCTTTTGAGAATAAAGAACTTATTCACTCCTTGCTAGATGTGCTGTGAGCAGACAGCCCTCAGCTGTCACCTTTGGAATGATCTCAATTTAAGAAAGATTCATTACCCACAGTCATGCCCTCTTCCTGTGGCAGCCTTCACCCAATGACACAGGAATATAAAGGTCCCACCTGTTACCCTGATTTGGGACAACCCTTCCAAGTGTCCCAGGGAGTTGGCTGAGGCCTTCATCCATACTGTACCATAGCCCACCTTCTTCCTCTGTTCAATCTTGCCTCCTTCCCTTCTCTTCCACAGGTGTTGACTCCTAATAAATTTC